GGGTCAACTCTTTAGGGTGCATAAATCTAGGACACGGGGAAATAAGGACAAAATCCTCATTCAAATGAAAATCATACACCGCCTTTAGTAGAAAAGAAGGGGGTAGTCGAAAGACCACCTTGTGCTTAAAAGAACAAAATACGACAACTCTGACACCCACTGTGCAGAAGTGAAAGCGAAAAGGAAGGCAACTTCTTACTAAAGTAAAAGCAAGGGTATATCCCAAATGCTCTTAAAAAGGGAGGCTTCTGAAGAACAGCACTAAATTCAAATCCCACAGTCGCAAAGGGGAGCACACAGGTGGGGCCAAGTGACGAACCCCGATTGAAAAAGTGTGAACCAAAGAATGTGTAGCCAAGGGTTGCTGAAAGAAAAAACAGCCAGAGCAGAAACATAACCCTGGATTGTACTCAACTCAAGCTTCTGATCCACACCACGTTGAAGGAAGGCCAACACCCGAGCCACAGCGAAGGAATGAGGATGGAACCCCAATGCTTCACACCAACCAACATAGGCTATCCAGGTTTGATAAGTCTTCCAGGAGGGTAGACTTACGGACCTTTAACATAGTAGGATTACTGAGCCAGAAAACCCTGTCCTTCAGGACCTGGCTCTCAAATAGGAAAGCCGTCAAATCCAGTGATTGTCAAGCAGGGTGGAACCACACCGGCGTACCACAGACAAGGCCAGTCCGGAGCCATGAAGATACCTGGGATCCCTTCAGCCACTATCCTGCATAGTAGACAAGAAATCACACGGAGGGATGGGAAGGTGTAGACGAGAGTACAGCGCCACTAGCGCATTTGTCGCATCCACCAGGGGATCCAACAATCTTGCCACAAAACCATGGAACTTTCCAATTGAGACGTGATGCCAGCAGATCCACGTCCAGTGGACCCCAGTGAATGCAGAGCTGATGGAATACCTCCGGACGTAGGAACCACTCGCATCTGTCACATCAATACAGCATCTGACAGCTTAGATAACCGGATTGCATGGAATGCGTATGGCAGAGCCGGAACAACCCTCTCTGCCCATCGCAGGATGTAAGATGCCTCCAGCACCGCAGCTGCACTTCTCATGCCCCCATGATGATTGAAATACGCTACCGCAGTAGCGTTGTTCGCCTGTATACTGGTCGGCAGACCCAAGAGGCGATCCATCCAATGTGCCAGTGACAACCTGATCGTCCGAAGCTCCAGGATGTTGATGGGTAAGAGCGTTTCCTCTGGAGTCCAGCGACCCTGAGCGGAGTCTGATCTTAGGACTCCTCCCAAGTCCGACAGGCTGGCATCTGCTGTGACCACTGTTCAGTGAAGAGAGAAGAAGAACTTCGGAGAGTCCGTAAAGCCGGAGACCTCAACCACCAAAAGGAGGGAGGGCCCACAATGGCTCCAGGTGAATCCAAATGTCCAAGGAGATGGAAGCCCTGGTCTACTTTGATAGGATTTCTCTCTAAAGAGTTCTCGTATGAAATTGGGCATACAGAACCACTTCGAAGCCAACCATAATCAGGCCTAACACCTGCATGCAAAAACACAGGGAGGGTTGTCTGTAGGCAAAGAGCTGCAGGACCGCTGACCGGAGCTTCAAAAGGAACACCTTGGCTTGTTATGAAATCGAGGATTTTCCAGGCGCTTGCCCAGGGGTCAAACACCAACTTCCTGAGGTTCAGGATTCACCTGAAGTCCCGTAGAAAAACACATGGTGATCTCCAATCAATCCAGTAGGGACGAGAGAGTCTCTGCACGCAGGAGCAAATCGTCCAGGTAACCGATCACCGCTATCCCCCATTGTCACAATAAAGCCAAGACTGGGGCTAGGACATTGGTAAACACCGGTGCGGAAGTTAGACAAAAAGGGGAGTGCTACAAAATCAGTAATGCGTGTCCCCAACAGCAAAACGTAGCAAGCACTGATGACAAATGGGGATTTAGGTAAGAGTCCTTGATGTCCTAGGAGGCCAGGAAATATTGGATGGAGGGAGGCTACCACTGAGCAAATGGATTCCATCTTCAACTTGTGAACATGCAGAAAGGTATTTAGGGCCTTGAGGTCAGGGGCCGAGCAAACTCCGCCTGCCTTGGGAACTGAACAGATTGGAGTAAAAGCTCTAAAAAGCTCAGAGTCTGGCACCGGGACAATTACTCAGCGGAGGAGCAGTTCCTACACAGCCCTGTAAGCACCCTAGCGAAAGCCACAGATTGGAGGGAAAAGAAAAAAAAATCTGTCCGGAGGAAGGGAATGAAACTACATTGTACCCTGAGAATGATTTTGCAGATCCACAGGCCCGGAAACCTGCGAAGTAGCGCCCCACCTCAACCCCCCTTCATGCTGAGGACTTTAAATCGGCGGCCTTTGAGGGCTTCTGGGGCCAGGAAAGCTTGGAATCACCTGTGCGAGCCTTAAAAAGGTCTGGAGCCCTTGGCTGCAGAGCCAGGAGGGAAGAAAAAGGCGCTTATGCACCATGAATGCTGGCACAGACTTCCGACAAGGTTGTTTCCCCTTCTTGGCCTGAGGAAGGAAGGTACTCTAGCCACCAGTAAGGTTCTTGATAATATCATCCAGTGTAGCACCAGCAAGACAGTCGCCCTGAAAGGGCAGGTCCCCCAGATCCTTTTTGGAGGTCTGGTCCACTGAACAACACTTGAACCAAAAGGACCTGCCAGAGCACCACAGCTGAGGAGGACAGTTTAGAAAGAGGTGGAGCTGCATCAAGTGAGGCGTCGCAAACTTCAACCTGTCACTCAGTTCCACATACGCTTGGGACAACTGACTAGCAGTTGAGGCTTGTCACAGAGGCTTGGCCCATTCGGTCAGTTTCTGGGACAGCAAGGCCGTAGCCAACATTGGCCTCAGCGCCGATCCGGCGATAATGAACATAGAGCGGGCTACCATCTTTGCCCTGAGGTCCACAGGATCCTTAAAAGAGGGAGATTCCTCCACTGTGATCAACGTGGCCTTGTTAAGCCTGGTGAGGAGGATCGACCACTGGCAGAAAGGTCCACTTCTTCAGCAGGACCTCCTCAAAGGGGTAACGCACTGCAAAGTGTTAAGGGAATACAAACGGACATTTCGACCGACTCGAACCCTTATAGACAAATTTGTCAAAATACTCAGGAGGTAAGAAAAAACCTTGGCAGCCCAAGCTAGCTTGTGTGTACCAAAGGGGAAAGGCACCACATCAGCCGTCCCTGAAGAGTCCTCCATTTTTAGCATTTCACACACCGAATTAATGAGTTCCGCTACCAATGCCTTCTCCTGTGCGGCTACAGAGGCAGAGGATCTGTTCTCATTCGAGGAATCAAGGATTTGTATCATCTGGATCCGCAATAAACCAGGAGCCCAAGGCGACCGGATCCAGCTCGGTCTCAAAATCGTCTGAGGACAACGGCGATGGCAGGGGGCACTTCTTGCTCACCTTGCAGGCAACCACTGCCACCACACAGAACACGAACAACTCGGATAGCCGACAAAGCGCCTAAAGGCAACTGAGGGACCCGGGACCTACACGGAGTCCCCCACAGAGCAGCATGCTTCTGCGATTCCATGGGACCAGCCCCTCCAATAGGCACAACCACAAAAGGGGAACCCCTGACAAGGGTAAAGTCCAGAAGACTAACCCCAGGGAACACTAGAAGGTAGATAGGAACACCTATAGCAGACAGGGGGTTTTATACCCAAAGAGGACTGCCCATAGGAGGTGCCAAGTCATTTTTTCTGCCTAGTGTCCTACTCTACTGTCCTACTGCAGGTGAGGCTATAAGACCCTACTTTGTTATGGGTAAGAAGACGCTGTGTCCATCAATGAACAAAAGAGAAATATTTATTTCCGTAGTGCAAATAAATTGGACATTTGGTCTCATACTTGCTATAAAGCTGCACAGTAATGGTCTGATAAAAGGATGAACTTGTCTTACCTTGTCAGGTTGCTAGTCCTTGCATGGGTCCAGGCTTCGCCTGTTAAAAGGTGGGCATGCTCCTGTATGGGTCTGGAAACCACAGGAATGGAGCATGGCCTTAGAGCTATATATAACTACACGGTGAGCTCCCAAGCAGTGCCTGAAAAACATTACAGGCCATTCCCACTGCATGGGGTGAGTGTACAGTCTCCAAGGTATTAACAAAGTTGCACTGCTTTTATTGTTATAGGAGAAGGCAGTGATGAGTTGAAGAATTTCAGTGTAAATAAGTACTAGTTAAGCTCAGAAACTCCACCAGGAGGAGAGTTGCAGGACACTAGGAGAAAAAAAAAAAAAAAAAAAAAAAAAAAAAACAAAAACACTAAACTAGTCTCATGGAGTGGGGTAATGTTATAGGGGTATGAACACCCAAGAGGGGCATGTCCAAAAGCTTTGCAAGTGTCCATTACACCTAAAAAAAAAAAAGTAGCAGCCTATATCCAATTCCTATGAATAGCCAGCCTGTGTCCTGTATTCTACAACTAAGATAAGCATTTTCCATTTAATATGAATCATACTAAAATTAAATGTGCACCACCAGTACACATTCCATGTAAACTTGCACACTATGAAATTTCATGGTTAACAGCCCTATTTCAACTTGATCCAACTATAATCCACTATATGAACGTATCAAGATATTAGGATGTCCTTCCAGTTCAGAGATCCACTTGCATTTCTGCAAAATAGAGTAATGGGGACTAAAACACATAGGACCAGATAAACAGGATTGCTAGTTGTTGAGAAATATGAATGAACAGATATGACACATGGTCAGTCACATGTCAAATAAAACTATTATGATGCAGCTTATATTGACAGTAGCATCTTTCCATTTTAAACCCTTAAAATGGGCAAATACAAAAAGTAAATAAAAAAAAGGGAAGGTTTTCCTACACTAACAAACTAGCACAAAATGTCGACATTTAGGATTGTATAGAAAAAAAAAAAAAAAAAAAAAAAAAAAAAAAGATACTACTTTTGAAATGTAGTAAAGGTACTTCTGTATGTGACCTGGTATAGCGCAAAACATCTTACCTGTGGTTTTAGGGTTAACCTTGGTGGAAGGTCCGAGATAAACTCTTCAAAGCCGATAAGTTCATGAGCATGGTGAAGCAGTGCTTCAGAGGCTTGATTCTTATGTACAAGTATGATATGGAAGCCATGCCTGTGACGCAGGTCACTCAGTTCAAGAGCAAAATTGACATCAGCTAGAGAAGAGGAAAAAAAAAAAAAAAAAAAAAAGTAGCATTTCCTTGTCCTTCCTGAAAATCCACTAGCCACATGATTGTTACACATTCATTCTTTAATGTGAAGTTGACATTCTTATCTGAATGTTTACAGTCAACATACCATTTATCAACTATACACCTAGGTTTTGATATCTAAGCTTTATTGTTTCACATTGTAGTGTGTTTGACATGTCAAGACAAAACTCCCAAAATGCAATAAAAGCAGGATCCATCAATTTTAGAATTTACAAAAGTAAAATTTATCAGAGTAGGTCATTCTTGCATGTACCATACAACATAACTGAATCAGTCAAACCAGTGTCCCAAACTCCAGAACATTCAACACCCTAACCTAAACATAAACCTTCAATTCTCCGTCACAACTGAACAAAGAGCGTACTAGCCTTTTAAGAGTTATATGGATGACAGGAAAAAAAAAGTACATAGTATATAGCATAATAAAAAATTACATGGACCGACGGATGCAAAGTAACAAGACATGCAGTTATTACGTGGGAATTACTTACTAGAAACCAAAACCACAGTTGCTGGAGAAGTGTGGGTATCGGCAAACCTCCTTAAACTTTGTCGGAGTTTATCATCTGCAGCGTTCTTTGCTGTAGCATTGATATGGGCAACTGTTACCTGTTAAAATGACAAACTAAGTTTGCAAGTAAACCAAAAATTACTTCAAATCATTTGACATCTGTCATTCAGAGGTGGTTTGTATATTAAGCAAAACCAATATTCAAGTAATAAAACTAGCATACCACATAGTTCCATGCCAATATTCATGACGTTTAACGATATACAGTTGCAAGAAAAAGTATGTGAACCCCTTGGGATTACATGGAGTTTTGCATAATTTGGGCATAAAATGTGCTCTGAACATCATTTAAGTCACAACAATAGAAGAACACAGTCTGCTGAACATAATACTACACAAACATTAGATGTTGCCATGGTTTAATTGCACATAACATGTAAACATTCACAGTGCAGGAAGGAAAAAGTATGTGAACCTTTGGACTTAATAACTGGTTGACCCTCCTTTAGCAGCAATAACCTCAACCAAACGTTTCCTGTAGTTGCAGATCAGACCTGCACAACGATCTGGAGTAATTTTGGACCACTCCTCTTCACAAAACTGTTTCAGTGTAGCAATATTCTTGGGATGTCTGGTGTGAATCGCTCTCTTAAGGTCATGCCACAGCATTTCAATCGGGTTGAGGTCAGGACTCTGACTGGGCCACTCCAGAAGGTGTATTCTGTGCTGTTGCAGCCATTGTTTTGTTGAATTACTTGTATGCTTTGGGTCATTGTCCTGTTGCATCACCCATCCTCTGCGGAGCTTCAGTTGGCAGACAGATGGTCGTACGTTTTCCTGCAAAATGTCTTGATAAACTCTGGAATTCATTTTCCCATCAATGACAACAATCCGTCCAGGCCCTGAGGCAGCAAAGCAGCCCCAAACCATGATGCTCCCTCCGCCATGTTTTACAGTGGGGATGAGGTTTTGATGTTGGTGTGCTGTGCCTTTTTTTCTCCACACATAGTGTTGTGTGTTCTTCCCAAACAACTCAATCTTGGTTTCATCTGTCCACAGTATATTTTGCCAGTAGTGCTATGGAACATCCAGGTGCTCTTTTGCAAACTTCAAACGTGCTGCAATATTCTTTTTGGACAGCAATGGCTTCCTCCGTGGTGTCCTCCCATGTACTCCATTCTTGTTTAATGTTTTCCTTATTGTAGATGTGTCAACAAAAATGTTAGCATGTGCCAGAGATTTCTGTAGGTCTTTAGCTGACACTCTGGGATTCTTCTTTACCTCATGCAGCATTCTGTGCTGTGCTCTTGCAGTCATTTTTACAAGACGACCACGCCTTGGGAGAGTAGCAACAGTGCTAAACTTTCTCCATTTGTAGACAGTCTGTCTTACCGTGGACACATGAACATCAAGGCTTTTGGAGATACTTTTGTAACCCTTTCCAGCTTCTTGCAAGTCAACAATTCTTGATCGTAGGTCTTCTGAGAGCTCTTTTCTGCGAGGCATGGTTCACATCAGACAGTGCTTCTTGAAACCAGTAAACCCAAAACAGGTGTGTGTTTTTTAAAGGCAGGACAGCTGTCAGCAACACATCCAATATCATCACACTGATTGGAGTCAAGGTTGGCTCACTCCTGGCTCCAATTAGCTCTTGGAGAAGTCATTAAACTAGGGCCTCACATACTTTTTCCTCCCTGCACTGTGAATGTTTACATGTTATGTGCAATTAAACCATGGTAACATCTAATGTTTGTGTAGTATTATGTTCAGCAGACTGTGTACTTCTATTGTTGTGACTTAGATGATGTTCAGAGCACATTTTATGCCCAATTCATGCAAAACTCCATGTAATCCCAAGGGGTTCACATACTTTTTCTTGCAACTGTATCTGAAAAATGTGCTAAAACCCTAAGATATGCCTATGCAGGATCCACAAAATGGAAAAGTTACTTCTGCTGGTTACCAATAACCAAAAACCATAAGACAAGGAGGACATAAAAATGATTCACCCCACCTAAAACCAATTTGAATTTTTGTAGACAGTAGGAAATTTAAATGTTTTAAAACAGACTCCTATGCCTCTCGGGAATTAAACTCCTCTTGACGCAAGAACAATGAGCTTTCACTCTGCAGAATGAAATTTGAGTTTTATCTTATGGTCAATGCAGCGGTAACAGGAATACCCATACCGACTGAGTGACAGTCTCCAGTTTGACCTAGAAAAGCTGCTGGATGTTGGTGGGGAACACTTTACCACTGTAGTGCCAAAAGAGAACTAATCAGTAGGTGACATTGGATGGCCATAAAATAAATTACCTGACAGTTATTTAGTTCCTCAATTACTTCCTTGTTTTCCTTACTGATGTCACAGACACAGATGAATTCTGCCTCTCTGTGACCTTTGAAAAAACGTTCGCGAATCCTCTTCACGACAGTTACAGCTGAGCGACCGCTGGGAACAGAGCAGTTTTCTATGTCCCAAAACACACCGATAGGAGGCAGATTTTCCTGCACCTGTCCAGCAGATGACATCTCAGGAGCTCCTACAAAAATGCTAATTTATTAAGCCACAAAATATATAAAAGGTTCAGATTACATGTAGAAGAGAAAAAAAAAAAAAAACACAAACAAAAAAAAAGTAAAGTTTACCACAATTTTGTGAAGCTTTACAGAAATTCTTAGTTTGCAAGATAGTCGTATCCTTCACGTTTCCTGGGGTTCCACAGCCATTACACAAGGGTAGTGCAGCAGTCTGGGTGCTCGGGGGTGGAATATTGGGCCACATTTTTGTTGCCATCAATTATGCTATTGGTAGGGGGCTGCAGAAATAAAACATTAAAGAGATTAAGCAGATTTTCAGCAATTATAGAAAATACCTGTTGATAATGCCAGAAGTTTAGTGTCCTCCTCACTTCCCGTACACCAAACAGAGCAAAATAGTGTTTTCCATAGGACACTGATCTCCGCACATCCCACGTAATTGAGAAACAGAGGAAGACCTGTTTTAAAGTCATGCCTGGCTCCCTACATAGATACAGTGGAATGACTGGAGAGTCAGCATAGACAAAGAACAAGAAGGGCTTTATTTGCAGGATTACCAGGTGAAAGACAAAAAAAAAAAGCCCCAAAAAGTATAAAAAGGAATAAAACAATCCAGCCACCTCATCTAAGCGTTAGTAAGCTGCAGTATATTACATAACACATTTAGAACAGTTTGCTACACAAATTTCTTTTGCTGAAAAATTTCTGGCAAATTCAGCGCAGGTTTGAGTGTAAAAGGATTCCTTTAGAGACTAGTAGACAGATGTCAGTACTGTAACAATCTGGCTGGCAGAAAAGTTTGTTGCGTCTCACTACTACCTGTTGCCTTACAAATTATATATTAAAAGAGGAGATTTTAAATAAAGCTCATCAAAATGACCAGGATTACTGTTAATGAACATACGGTGACCTTGTTCCTGTAACTCTCGCCCATTACCCTAAATAACAGAAGAAGAGCTTTGTGTTCTCTTTTGGCATTACTTCGCAGTAACGGAATCCCATATAAATGGCACTTCCCCTTTGCTCTCAATGCCACGCATCAGGGGAAACAATATTACTAGAGATGAGCGAATCGAACATGACGAAGTGGAATTCGTTCCGAAGATTTGGAAAAATTCTATTCGCGACGAATCCGAAGATTAGCAAACTTCGGATGCACGAATCGAATTTTCCCAAAAATGGCGGCGACATGTGTGGCGACGGAGAAAATGGACAGAGAAGATGGGGCGGGGATCTCTGGGAAGGCGCGCAGACAAGGCGCGCTGACCCATAATGCATTCATGACATGTGATCGCATTAGCCAATCAGCAGCCAGCCAGCACTGTGTAATGGTGGAGCTATAAATCACGCTGCTGACGGCTTCCGCTTTTTAACCGAGGCCTGTGTTTGGCTTCCGAATACTGCTGCATCCACCGCCACCCTGCGCCATGTGTCTCTGTCGTCTGCTCACGCTGCTGACGGCTTCCGCTTTTTAACCTAGGCCTGTGTATGGCTTCAGAATAATGCTGCCTCCACCGCCACCCTGCGCCATGCGCCTCTGTCGTCTGCTCACGCTGCTGACGGCTTCCGCTTTTTAACCTAGGCCTGTGTATGGCTTCAGAATAATGCTGCCTCCACCGCCACCCTGCGCCATGCGCCTCTGTCGTCTGCTCACGCTGCTGCCAGGTCCATACTGATTCATGGCCCCCTGTACCGGCTCCTCATGAACGTGGTTCAGCGGGTTTGCATCACTTAACGGCAAATCGTTGACAAACGCTGGGACGTTCAGTGTTGTGCGCATTAAGCCAGACACCAAAGGGCAGCACAGACCTGTTATTACTCGCTCAAGCATGGCTGAACAAAACCAGTCTCTACCACAAATTGGACCCAGACCTGCCCAGGGTCTCGTAAGTAGATTGCACGGAGGAGTAGAGTTCGTTATTGGAATTAACTGTGAGGGACTTTTAAACCTAGGCCTGTGTATGGCCTTCAATTGAAGCTGCTTCTGCTCCGCCACTCTGCCATTGGACTCTTGATAGTCGTCTCCCCACGCTGCTGCTGGGGGGACTTTTTAACATAGGCCTCTGTATGGCCTTCAATTTTAGCTGCTTACGCTCCGCCACTCTGCCATGGGCCCCTGTACCGCCTCCTCATGCTGCTGCCAGGCCCGTAATCTGCCATGGGCCCCCGTACCGACCCCTCATGCTGCTGCCAGGCCCGTAATCTGTCATGGGCCCCTGTACCGCCTCCTCATGCTGCTGCCAGGTCCAGAGTGTGTCATGGGTCCCTGTACGGCCTCCCATTGCTGCTGTCTCCATCGCCACACTCTGCCATGTGCCACTTTCAGGTCTCCTCACACTGCTGGTGGGTTCCATTTTGTCATAGGGTGCTGTATGGCCTCCCATTGCTGCTGCCTCCACCGCCACACTGTGGCTCCACACTCTGGTTTTGGCCCCGTGACTGCCCAAATGAGTGAAGTGTGCGGTGATTCTAAGATCGACGGCACTCATCTGCATGTCATACTGACTGACAGTATTATTTCTCTTCCCCAGCAGACTCCAAGGGCATTTAAATTAAAGGTACAGTGTTCTGCACTAATATAAAGGCTCTCTGAAGCCTAGAAACACCCTTTTTATAAGTTAAATACGCAGCGAATATACTCGGCACGAAGCGAATTTATTCGGCGAATTCGGCGAATCAGCCGAACCGATTTTGAATAACTCGCTCATCTCTAAATATTACCTACGCACACCTGACGAGTTACAAGTCTTTTGCACCAATTTGCAGCTGCCTTATATTGAACTTCTGGACTGGTATCGAGGATTTAGAGATCCTCTCTTAACCCACCTCATACGCCACAACCTACACCAAACCACCATTGAAGAAAGGAAGACTTCACAAACACTATGCTTCAGAACGTCAACCTTCACCATCTGGCTCCAGAACCTTGCGAGACCGTGACAAGGGCTGACAGTGCAACAGCCCCATCCTTATAAAATTCCATTCTGCTGGACTCTTGTTCTTGACTGGATTAGCTTAACAGGATATCAACAGTCCTGGTCACGTTGACACAGACTTTATATGCAGCCTTGATTCCTAATGATACCTATTCAGGAGGCACTAATGGAGAACGATAGCCCTATGCTATTGATCTAGCTCTTACCTCCCTCTCCTGAGCCCCCCTCCTCCCTCCTTTCCTTCACTCTCCTACCCTTTCATTATCCCTCTCACTTCCTCTTTCCCAAACTCCACAATTTTCCTACCCACTCTCCCTCCTCCCCCATCTTTTCTACTGGAGAAGAGAAGTTTTCTCTTTTGTATGTCCAATTACAATAGCCATGTTTATCCTTTCAATATGATACGGTATTACATTAGAAATATTGATTTGATCATAGAAGTGCTGATACATAGGTTCCTTGGTGACCACAGCTGTTAAACCATGGGACTAGATTGTATATTGCATCAATACAAGTTTGGAAATAGCATTTTTGTTTGTTGGTTAAACCGTCCTTATAGAGGTTTTTATGCAGAATAAGACGGTCTGCTAAAAGCTGGGGTTTATCAGGAGAACCCTCTGTTTTTATATAGTTAGACTACTTTTTGTCCTGGTATACTCGATCATTCGTTCACCCTCCCACCTCCCCACCAGTGGGTGCGTTAATTCATAGTGACAATTCTGGCCATTTTTAGACTACTGCAAACCCAAATTAATAATCTGAGGTCTTTGTATCTGGTGTTGCCACCAAATATCGTCTTTGCAATTCTCTCAGCTGAAGGAATGCCTTTATCGGTTCTTAGTCTATTTCTCGATTTTTTTTTTTTTTTCCAATTATTGTATGGTCTGAATCGTCCATTTCATTGCACATTAACATGGCATATTCCACTCTTGGAGCAATCCTACAGTGATTTCTCATAATATGCAAGGGCTGAATATTCCGGAAAAGAGAACTAAAATTACGGAGGAAACTTAAAAAAAGGCTAAAGCAGCTTTTGTTTTTCTACAGGAGACTCATTTTTATAGCGCACTCTGTACCAAAATTGACAACTTATTCTCCTTGTGCATATCATGCCCCTAACCCTCAAGCGAAAACAAGAGGGGTATCCATTCTCATAGGACGAGATTCAGGATTTGAGTACATTCATCATTTAGCAGATTCATACGGCAGATCTTTCTCAAAAAGGGAAATGCAATGGTGTTCAGATAACTTTAGCAAATGTTTATTTTCCTAGCAAAGCATATGTGCGGTTTTGCCATAAAACAATAGATGAGCTTATGGTATTTGCTTCTAGTTGTATACTTTTGGGTGGCGATTTTAAAATCCCACTAGATCCACTTCAGGATACCTCCAATGGCAAATCTGCAATTTCTTTTAAGATACTGAAACAAATAAAAACCTTACTTGGATCGCTTTGATAGACTCTTGGCAAACTGTACACCCCTCTGATCGAGATTATACATTTTACTTGGCAATAGACAAAAAAAGTACTCCAGAATTGATTATCTGTTTATCAGTCAGAGGGATTTGCGCACTTTAGAAAAGGCGGATATTGGGGTACAAACCATTTCGGATCATGTACCCATATCCATTTCATTAAACTGTCAAAACAGCCCATAGAGTGTGCAACCAGAGATTGAACCCAACATTACTATCAGACCCCTCCAATTTGACTCAAATTACCAACTCTCTCCGATTTTATTTCAGAAAGAAAAAAAAACTCTTTGAATATATATCGCCTTTAACCATCTGGGAAGCCCATAAATGTGTGCTCCGTGGGGATTTTATTAAATTTAGCTTCAAAGCAGAGAAAGGGAAAAAAAAAAAAAAAAAAAAAAAAAACACGGCATTAGCACTGACAACAAAAATTTCCAAATTAGAAACCCAACATAAACTCTCAGTAGCAGTTCAAACAGCGATGGAACTCTTGGAGGCGCAGCGTGAATTACAAAACCTCCTAAACCTACACACAAAATGCATTTTGTTCTTCAAAAAAGGATTCTTTTATGAACATGGAAATAAAAGCGGGAAGTACCTAGTTGAAGCCTTACATGAAGTTCGAATGTCATCCCATATCTCTAAGATTAGAACTTCAAAACCACCAATATTACTGACAAGATCGCTGGGGAATTTCATAAATACTACTCCAAATTATATAATCTTACGTTGCAACATAAATGGTCAACTTTTCAGGAATGCAGGTCTCAAATTATAAAAAGACAACATAGCACAGAGTGGTATGCCCAAATTAAAATTGAATGATTCTGAGATGCTGGAACACCCAATTACAGAGGAAGAACTTTTATTAGCCATTAAAGCACTAAATTTGGAAAAAGCCCAAGCCCTGATAGTTATACGGTTCAATACCATAAAAACAT